GCACGTAAACTCAAATACAGCATGCATGCCCAGGTGGAAGCTAAAAAAGTTGATCACATAGAAGTAGATCAGAATGGTGGTCACGAAAGGCTGGGGAGGGTGGGAGAATGGAGGAGAGAGGTTGGATAAAGGGTTTCAGAGCAGTGTTAGATAAGGAGGAATTAGTTCTAGTGTTCTAGAGCATAACATGGCAACTTACGCATGCAACAATTTATCCTTTCATCATAGCTAAAGGAGAGCGTGAAGCTTCCCAACATGCAAAAATGATAATATTTGCAGAAGAAATGTGAGCTTTCCTCATCTGATCTTTACAAATTATATACAGTTACTTAATTATTGTGTTGTACCCCAAATAAATGCAAAAATAATAAAAACAAAAACAACCAAACATAATAAAACTTTATATTATACAGCATCGATACTTCTCATATACATGGGACTCCTGGGGAAGACTTTTGGTGCAGTGGTGAACACAGTGCTTGGGCTGCCCACATGCCATACTGGAGTGCCGGGGTTTGAATCTTGGCTACACTTCTCATCCCAGCTTCCCACAAATGTAGGTAGCAGAAGACGGCCCAAGTATTTGGGTCTGTGTCACCCACATGGGAGACCTGTGTTAGGTTCTGGGCTCCTGGCTTCTGTTGCAAGTATTTGGGGAGTGAATCAACGGCTCTCCCTATCTATCTATCATCCTTCCGTCTATCTACCATCTAGCTGCCATTTAAGTAAATAAATCAAAATTTTAAAAAAGTTTTTTTTTTTTTTTTTTTTAAAAAAGGTGTTGCCTTCTAAAAAATAAAGAACTCTTGGGGCCGGGGCTGTGGAGCAGTGGGTTAACACCCTGGCCTGAAGTGCCAGCATCCCATATGGGCGCCGGTTCTAGTCCCAGCTGCTCCTCTTCCGATTCAACTCTCTGCTATGGCCTGGGAAACAGGTAGAAGATGGCCTAAGTCTTTGGGCCCCTGCACCCACGTGGGAGACCTGGAAGAAGCTCCTGGCTCCTGGCTTTGGATCAGCGCAGCTCCAGCCGTTGCGGTCATCTGGGGAATGAACCATCGGATGGAAGACCTCTCTTCTCTTTGCTCTCTTCTCTTCTCTCTGTGTTACTCTGACTTTCAAATAAATAAATAAATATTAAAAAAAAAAAAAACAAAGAACTCCTAAAATCTGAGGACCAGAATGAACACCTTAATATAAAAATGAGGAAAGACATGAGCAGATGGTTTACAGAATAACACATAAAAATACCTCCTTAGATATATGAAAAAAGAGGTTCTCCCTCTCACCTATCAGACTGGCAAAAACCCAAAGTTTGACAACATGTTCTGCTTACAAATCTGTATGGAAATAGAAAGGTTCTTACTTTACTGATGGGAATATAAAATAATAAAAACTCAATGGATGGGATTTTGTTAGTAACTAGAAAAATTGCACATGCTTTGTTTTCTGACCCTATAACTCCACTTCCAATTATTGATTCCTAAGTTAACCTGGGTAAAGTACAAATCTGCTTGTGTATAAAATCACTCCTTGCAGAAATTTTTCTAACAGCAACATATTATAAACAACCTCCATGTCCATCTTTAGGAGACAACTACACAATGGAGTATAAAAAAATGAAAAACATCACTGCATACAAAAATAGAATACTCTTCAGGACAATTTTAGGTTGGAAAAAAACAAGGTACAAAACACTAAAAATGCCACTTTAAAAAAAGATTTACTTATTTATTTGAAAGGCAGAACCAGAGAGAGATAGAGAGATAGAGAGAGAGATAGAGAGAGAGGTCTTCCATCTGCTGGTTCACTCCCCAAATGCCACAGTGGCCAGAGCTGTGCTAATCCGAAGCCAAGAGCTAGGAGCTTCCTCTGGGTCTCCCACACAGGTGCAGGGGCCCAAGGACTTGGACCACCTATTCATTGCTTTCCCAGGCCATAGCAGAGAGCTGGATCAGAAGTGGAGCAGCCAGGACTTGAACCAGCGCCCATATGGGATGCTAACACTGCAGACGACAACTTTAACTGCTACGCCACAGCACTGGTCCACTTTTTTTTTTTTAAGAAGAAGAGAATATGTGAATTTATGCAAATATAATAAACTAGAGGAGAATTGACATCTTTATCATACTAAAGGAAAGTCGAATTTTTTTCCAGTTAAACAAAAAAGATATGAAATATTTGGGACAGAGGAGAGGGGAAGAGGGAGTATTTTAAGGAATTGGCTCACACAATTGCTGCAGATGTCAAGTGTGAAATCTGAAGGGTGGGGTCCTAGGCTGGAGACCCGGAAACAATGGAAGCGGCGGTTTGCTTCTGAGGAGGTCTGCTGGCAGAATTCCTTCTTTGACTCCTTTGGGGGGAGTCAGTCTTTTTTCTTAAGGCCTTCGACTGATCAGGTGAAATCCATGTATATGATGAAAGGCAACCTGCTTTCCTCAAAGTCTGCTGATTTCGATGTTAATCACATCTAAAAATATCTTCACAACAACCTCCAGACACATTTGAAAACGTATCTTGGACACTGTGGCCCAGAGAAGTTGACAGAGAACTAACTATCGCAATATTTACCTTTGATCCTTCCAAACACCAAGTGAAATGATAATAAAGCAAAAATAAATAAATAAAGTGCTAAACCAAAAAGAACACAAAGCCCAAGAAATGAGGCAACAAGAAAGCAGAGTTGTCAACATGTAGAAACACACACAGACGGAAAGTAGATGGAAGAGTTGCGGTTTAGAAAGCCTGGGCTCTCAGGCCGGCGCCGCGGCTCACTAGGCTAATCCTCCGCCTTGCGGCGCTGGCACACTGGGTTCTAGTCCCGGTTGGGGCGCCGGATTCTGTCCCGGTTGCCCCTCTTCCAGGCCAGCTCTCTGCTGTGGCCAGGGAGTGCAGTGGAGGATGGCCCAGGTGCTTGGGCCCTGCACCCCATGGGAGACCAGGAAAAGCACCTGGCTCCTGGCTCCTGCCATCGGATCAGCGCGGTGCGCCGGCCGCAGTGTGCTGGCCGCGGCGGCCATTGGAGGGTGAACCAGCGGCAAAGGAAGACCTTTCTCTCTGTCTCCCTCTCTCACTGTCCACTCTGCCTGTCAAAAAAAAAAAAAAAAAAAAAAGAAAGCCTGGGCTCTCACAACAAAATACCATCAACTGGGTGGCTCAAACAATGGCAATTTTTTGTATCTCAGAGTCCTGGAAGTCGGAAGTCCAAGATGAAGGGCCTGGCTGATTTGGTTTCTGATGATGGCTGTCTCCCTGCTTTGTAGACTGTGCCTTTTCATGGTGCCCTCCCATGGCCCTTCCTCAATGTGTGCTCTCCAGATATTTCTTCTTAGAAGGGCAGGAATCCCTTGGAATTGGAAGACATGCTTCTGACCTCGATGAACCTTAAGTACCTCCTTAGAAGCACCTGTCCAAATTCAGCCCCACTGGGGTACTGCTGCTTCAAACAGGAACAAACATTCGGTTCATAACAAATTGTTACTCATTTAGCAGAGCAGAGAAGGCATCCCTCTGGTATAGAGGAATGGCAAAGAGAAGCAAGCAGGGTTGCTGTGCAGAGCCCAAGGAACGTGCAGATATGAAGTGACAGGAGAAAGAAGGGTGAGGCATAAGACTAAAAATCCACAATTTGATATGATATCCCAACAGTACTCAGTGAGATTCTCGGTTGCGCTCTCCCCACCCCATGTAGCCAAATGAACACTACATGAGATCAGAAATTTCATCTGTGAGAAAATTAAGAAAAAAAAAAAACCTGAAAAGTTTTGGATCCAGAAATCTGCAAAGTGAAGTTAAAGTTGACAAGAGGAGCCAGCATTGTAGTGCAGTGGGCTAAGCCACCACCTGCAACGCTGTCATTTGAGTCCTGGCTGTTCCACTTCTGGTCCAGCTCCCTACCAATGCACCTGGGAAAAGAGTAGAAGGTGGCACGAGTATTCAGGCCCCTACATTCATGTGGGAGACCTGGATGAAGCTCCTGGCTCCTGGCTTCAGCCTGGCCCAGCCCTGGCCAATGTGGCCATTTGGGGAGTAAACCAGCAGGAGAGAGATCTCTCTCTGTCTCGCTCTCTGACTCTTTTCTCTCTCTCTGTGACTGTGGCTATCAAATAAATGAATAAATAAATAAATCTTTTAAAAAAGAATGAAAAGAGAGAGATTAAGAGGATCCATATACACAAATCTATGAGATCGTTAGCACCGTTCTCTCCGGCTCTCAGCACCCAGCACAACAAATAAAAATGACCCAGAGCAAGGTCTTCCCCAAAAGCTGCCAGGGAGAGTGTCACATATCGAGGAATGAACATCAAAACAACACGAACTTCTCATTAACAGTACCAGAAGCAGGAAGAAGAGGGAATCACACCTTTAATATTTGGGAGAACAATGATTTTTGACATAAATGCTGTGCTCTGCCAAACTAGCAACCAAATTTCCTTAATGTGTTGTACAATGTGAATTAATGCTATAACTAGTACTCAAACAGTACTTTACACTTTCTGTGGGAGTGCAAAACTGTTGAAATCTTTACTTAATATATACTAAATTGATCTGTATATAAAGATAATTGAAAATTAATCTTGATGTGAATGGAATGGGAGAGGAAGTGGGAGATGGGAGGGTTGCGGGTGGGAGGGAAGTTATGGGGGGGGGGGGAAGCCACTATAATCCAAAAGCTGTACTTTGGAAATTTATATTTATTAAATGAAAGTTAAAAAAAGCTAAAAAACAAATTTAAGAATAGAATAAAAATACCAGAAATAAAAAGTGTTAAAGCATAGACCTCCTAGGACTCCTTGCTCTGAAGCTAGTTTAGGCTGTGCTTCACCAAAAGCCAGGAGAATGCTTGACCACAGTCACATACCTAGGACAGAGCACCTTGGCCAAGAGAGAGACGTAAGTTTCATTGGGTGAGGGTAATGGGAAGTCCCTAGATGACGGAGTGGTGGTCCTACAGAAAGACATATCTGGATTAGATAAAGATGATAGAATGTTTAGGAGGGAGACATAGAAACAGAGTAAGGTTGCTTTTTTTTTTTTAAAGATGTATTTATTTATTTGAAATCGGAGTTACAGAGAGAGAGGGAGTGGACTTCCATCTGCTGGTTCACTTCCCAAGTGGCCACAATGGCCCTGGCTGAGTCAGGCTGAAGCCAGGAGACAGGAGCTTCATCTGGATCTCCCACATGGGTGGCAGAGACCCAAGCACTTGGGCCATCTTCTGCTGCTTTCCCCAGGCCGTTAGCAGGGAGCTGGAACAGAAATGGAAGAGGTGAGATTCAAACTGGTGCCTATGTCGCCAGCACAGGTGGAAACCTTACCCACTGTACTATAAGGCTGGCCCTAATATTTTTTGTTTTAAATAAAAATAGAGAAAAGCATTGAGGCACAGTAGGTTAAGCAGCCACTTGGGATCCCAGCATTCCCTATCCGAGTGCCTAGGATCAAGCGCTGTCTCTGCTTCTCATTTGCTAATGTGTAACCTGGGAAGCACTAGGTTATAGTCCCAGAACTTGGGTCCCTGCCACCCATGTGGAAAACTAAAATGGAGTTCCTGGCTCCTGGCTTTGGCCTGGGACAGCCTTGGCTATTCTTGATACCCAGGGAGTGAATTAGCTGATCAGATTCTCTGTCTCTCCCTCCCTGTCCCTCCTTCCCTCCCCCTGCCCCCATGTGTGTGTGTGTGTGTGTGTCTGCCTTTCAAATAAATTTTTTTAAATTAGTAGATTAAAAATAGGTAACATACCTGACTCATTTGAATAGTGCAAAAAAGTATTATAGGCAGTAGTAATGTTTGAATGTCAAGTTGGAAAAAAAAAAACAGTGATCAGTGATATAGACATAAAACACAGAAAGAGCACAAACATTTGACACATTTATTCAATTAAGGAGAACAAACCTTGTACATGCAAGAAAACAAAATTATAGTTCATCTTTTGGTCTTATAGTGAAAAATCTTTAGGAAGACATTAAAATATAAACACTGAGAAAATGAATGCTGATTTGATTCCTCAATAATGGAGAAGGAAGCAAAGGCCTCAAATCCTCACCAGCATAATAGAAATTCAGTAAATAATGTTTAGAGTGGAAAACTCAGGAAATAGCTGTACACACATATTTGAAAAACATGAAATTAAATGCAAAACAACAACTCTTAAGAGTGGAAAGTGGGTTCCTTTGAGAGCAGATGTATTGGTAAGGATGGATAAAAGACTGCTGACTCTTGTTGTGAGCTTTGTGGTCAATTTGTCTTTAAAAATTATGAGGATACTTCAAAAAGTTCATAGAGGAATGGAATGAAAGAGGAGTTTATGTTGAAGCAAAAAAACTTGAAACCTATGCCTAGTTTTTCATAACATGCATTTTCATGAACTTTTTGAAGACCTCTCATGTACATAACAATAAAAAGCAAAACAAAAACCTTCCCTATACATTTTAAATTACCACCTGGCTCAATAATTTCTGTGTGTATCTAGACATAGAGAGAGGGAGGGAGGGAGAGAGAGGGGGGGGGAGAACAAAAGAGGGAGAGAGAGAAAGGGAGCATGTTAGTTCCAATCTGCTGGTGAACTCTCCAAATGCCCACAACAGCTGGGAGTCTGAAACAAGAACCAGAAACTCAATCGTGTCTCCCACATGAGTGGCAGGGACCTGATTATTTGGGTCATTACTGCTGCCTCACTGGCTTTGGACCACAGGTGAGTATCAAATAGCAGGTACTCCAATGCGGGAGGCAGGCATCCCAACCAGCACTTGAACCACCCTCAACAGTCTTAACCTTTACAATAAGGAGACTACACTAAGAATTAAGTTCCTTTCTGCTGGAGGTGATTGAAATGGAGCCCGAGAAAATTAAGAACATAGCAATTGCCCCACTCCACGGAATGAAGCTACTTTGCAGATGTTTAGTGAAGGCGGTGAGGTTGATATCCGGTATTAGCAAAGGGTGCAGCCATGTGGCGGAGCGCTAAGTAGAGAGAGGAGCCCACTGTGCCTCTGGATTGAAGAACTCCGCCTGGTGGCCTTGGTGAGAGAGGATTTTAGCGTGGTGCAGTAGAGGTGGGAGCACAATGCGTAGGTGAGGACACAATGAGGACAAGCTTCTTTTTAAGACATTTTGTAGGAAAGATAAGTAGGAAACAGAAGGGAATTTAAGGTCAAGGAACATAGTTTTGCATGTTTTGTTTGCTTGTGTATTTTTAAAATGGGAGAGGCTTGAGCTCATTTCTATGCTGAGGAGAGAAAAGACAAGAGTAGGAGATTCTGGAGAAAAGATAACAGAAGGTGGCATTTTAGGAAGCAGGAGGAGATAAAATCCAGGCTCAGGAGAGGTGGTTGGTTTTTTATTGGTTTCCAGTCGTGGAAAGATCTGGTAACCATTCACTGTTTCACATGGTTTCTTCTCTCTCATATTTTCTGCTTGAATTTTAAATGCTATTTCTTCAATTTCCTGCTCTCCACTTTCTATTAAATGTCATTATCAGTATTGAACAATGTCCACCAATGAAAGTATTTACTCGTGCCAACTAGGAAGACTTTATTTCTGTCCTACCACATTTTTTGTTTATGCTAACATTAAACAAAGTCCTTCATTTTTTTGCAATGCAACTAGCATAGAACCTAAAATAATTCCAGACTCACATTAGGTGCGGTAGGCCCCCGTATCTGTAGTTTCACATTCCATGGTTTCAGTTACCTGTGGCCTTCCTTGGGCTGAAAACATTAATAGAAATTTTCAGAAATAAATACATAAAATAAGAAATTCTGAAATTTTAGATTATGTACCGTCCTCATTAGCATGTCAAAATGTCACGTCACCCCATTCTATGCTACCCAAGGCATAAATCCTCTCTTCGTCCACTGTATCCAAGCTGTATATGCTACTTTCCCATTAGGCACTTAGGTATCTCAGTCATCAGATTGACTATCGTAGTATCACAATGCTTGTGTTCAAGCAACCTCTGTTTTAATTAACAATAGTCCCAAGGCATGCAGTAGTGATGTTGGCAATTCACATATGAAAAAGAGAAGCAGTGAAGTGCTTCCTGTAAGCTAAAAGGTGGAAATCCTTGACTTAATAAGGAAAGAGAAAAAAACCATATCCTGAGGTTGCTAACCTCTATAGTAAGCAACTGTTCATACCTGACTGTGGGTAATTTATAACTTAAACATTATTATAGGTATAGGTATGAAGGTATAGGAAAAAGATAGTCTATGAGCATACTTCATAAAGTGTTGGGAAAAACAGAATTTAAAGATATGCTTATTTCAGTGCAAAAAAAAAAAAAAAACCTGAAATCCACGTCTGGTTTCATAATATGCATTTCCCACAAAATTTTTGGAGATCCTTTGTATGCATGTTTAAGTACTGTCTACAGTCTCACTCATCCACAGGGGATTGGAGAAGGGCTACTCTTACTTATAAAAGCTATTAGATGATGAAAAAGCTGGTAGCACACAGCCAGTAAAAAACCTCATCGGGAACAGGAGCTCTATTTATTAAGAAATCTGCATATATCTAGCCATTTGATTTTAAAATGTAATTTTTTTAAATTTCAGCAAAGATAAGGTGTTTACATTGTGGTCTACTATTGGCTAATTTCTATTGTAAGGGATAATCAAATTGGTAGTACATAATCCAATGACTTTTCTGCCTACCACCAACTTCCTACAATCCTTTTCTCAAGTTTCTGCTCACTCATAGTTAATATCATCTCTGAAAAATATAACCATAAAAATATTTTAAAGATGTTACCTCCAAAAGACTATGGATAGCTCCAAAATACTTACTTATTTTTCATACCATATTGATTTCTTTTTAAAAATATTTTTATTTTATTATTTATTTGAGAGGCAGCGAGACCACATGGGTCTCCCATGTGGGTGCAGGGGCCCAAGCACTTGAGCCATCTTCCACTGCTTTCCCAGGCCATAGCAGAGAGCTGGACCAGAAGTAGAGAAGCCAGGACTGGAACCGGAGGCCATATGGGATGCTGCACTGAAGGCAGAGGCTTAGTCTGCTATGCCACAGTGCAGGCCCCTTACCAGATCGTAAGAACAGGAAACAGCTCTCTGCTGTGGCCAGGGAGTGCAGTGGAGGATGGCCCAAGTGCTTGGGCCCTGCACCCCATGGGAGACCAGGAGAAGCACCTGGCTCCTGCCTTCGGATCAGCGCGGTGTGCCGGCCGCAGCGCGCCGGCCACGGCAGCCATTGGAGGGTGAACCAACGGCAAAAGGAAGACCTTTCTCTCTGTCTCTCTCTCTCACTGACCACTCTGCCTGTCAAAAAAATAAAAAAAAAAAAAGAACAGGAAACAAAATATGGGAGACAAATGGAACCAGATAATCCTACTCATGCATGGTACCATCTAAAGTTACTGCTGTGACTGTTTTGCCTTTAATGTGATGACCATTAGAAATTCACTAATAGACCTCTTAATATTCTCCTTTAATTAATAAGTCCATTCAAATACTAAAGCCTTGAAATCTCTATACAAGGTAGTCGTGGCTGAGTGGTTAAAGCAATGGACTTGAAATCTCTATATAGAATATTTCAGGAAGACTGCTACTCATTACATTTTGGAATTCAAAATCATAAGTAGCATTGGAATAGTCCAATGATCAGTCTTTGAAATGTTCAAAATAAACAGAAGATTTGTTTAGAAGGACAGTATAGCATATATACCATCCATCACCACTGTCCATTTCAGTTCAATCTAAAATATCACAAACATAGGCAGCATTCTTATCTCTGGGTCTGGACACAGCTTCAGAATCCTCAGCTAAAGACTACAGTTAACTGCTCCCAACTGACTGCAGCTAACATCCTTGGGCCCCTGCACCTGCGTGGGAGACCCAGTCAAAGCTCCTGGCTCCTGGCTTCAGATCGGTGCAGCTCCGGCCATTGCGGTCAACTGGGGAGTGAACCATCGGATGGAAGCTCGCTTTCTCTCTCTCTGTCTCCTCCCTCTCTGTAACTCTTTCAGATAAATCAATAAATCTTTTAAAAACATAATTTTCCTCACAAGCCTCAGAGAATTTGGAAGGTAAAGTTTCAAGGACAACTTTCAGTCAAGAATTACTAAACCCTCAAGGAAATTAACTCCATGGCATTAAGGTGATAATAAATACTAGCATAGAATCAGACACAGAATATGCAATAACTATGTGTCCTAACGTTCCAGAATAAAAAGAGGTTTGAAACTGTAATAGCAAGCAGATTTGCAAATAACCAAAGAGAACCTCAATAAATTAAAAATAAAACTGGAATTTTCTTTAATGAAAAGGGTCAAGGAAGAAATCATAGTACATACCTGAGATGAAGAATTTTACAGCATTACCTATTAAAACCTGTGGAATTCAGCTATAGCAGTATTTAGAGGAAATGTAGTGTCTTAAATTCTTATGTTAGAAAATAAGAAGTTAAAAATTAATGCAAGAAGTTAATAAGAAGTTGACAAGTACAAAAAAAATTAAAGAAAGGAAATTAACAAACTAAGAGTGGAAAAATACAAAAGAGGAAAATCAATGAATTCTACAATGGAATGCATTGAAGAAACCAAAAAGTTGTGATTTGTAATTTTAATGAAGTGTGAACATCTGTTTGACTTAGTAAAAAGCAAAGCTTAAATTTTATCAGAAATGAAAATGAAGTCATATCTACCCATATTGAAAATATCTAAATGATAATCCTAAGCGTAGAAACACAAAAAATAACACAAATTTCTAGTAAAAACAATTGGTACAGAATAATTGAAAAATCTAAATAGTGCCGACAGTTGAGGGACTGAATTAATAGTTTACAATATTCTTATGAAGTAACTCTAGTCCCAGGGTTGCTTTCATGGAGGTTTAATTTGCATAAAGTAAAATTCATAATTTTAGATACACAGTTCAATGAGTTTTGACAAGCATAGTCAGTTGTTTTTAAAGGCAGTTGAATCTTTTTAAAAATTTATTTATTTATTTGAAAGGCAGAGTTACAGAGAGAGAGAAGCAGAAAGCAGAGACAGAGAGAAATCTTCCATCCACTAATTTACTACCCAAATGGCTGAAATGGCTGGAGCTGGGCCGATCTGAAGCCAGGAGTCAGGAGTTTTTCTGGGTCTCCCACGTGCATAAATACAGGGGCCCAACCACTTGAGCTATCCTCTGTTGCTTTTCCAGGCGCATTAGCAGGGAGCTAGATCAGAAGCAGAGCAGCCAGGACTCAAACGAACGTCCATATGGGATGCTGGCACCAGGCAGCAGCTTCACCTGCCATGCCACAGCCCTGGCAACTATGTATATAGTTGTGTAACCATCACCACAATCCAGATATCACCCCAAAAGTTTCATTATGTGCCTTTGTAGTCCACCTCTTGATACCCACTAACTTGATTTGTGAACCAGGAATTTTCTTTTCCAAAATGTCTTGTAAATGAAATCATACAATATATAGCAATTTATCTGACCTTTTGTCACATAGCATAAAGGTTTGCCCATCCTGTGTAAATCAGTGGTCTATTTCTTTTTAATGTTGAGTGTGCCATTCTATGAATGCACACTTTGTTTATCCATGCACACTGGTTGATGAACAATTGGTTTGTTTCCAGGTTGTTTTTTTTTTTTTTTTTTTTTGGCAATTATGAGTAAAGTTTCAATAGCTAGTCTCTGAGAGCTTTTTGTGTAGACATGTTGTAATTTCTCTTGGGTAAATACTTAGCATTGGGATTGATGGATTATATGAGAAGTCTATGTTAAACTTTGTAATAAATTGCTATAGTGTTGCTCAAAGTGACCAATGCAATTTGCATTCCTACTAGCCTTTCTGTCTCCCCACATCCTTGAAAGCATTGCATAAGTCATTTAAATTTTTTTCTTTTTACCTACTCTAGTAGGTATGCATTGGCTATTCTCACATTATTTTATTGATGAATTCTATTAAAAATCAACAAACAAGTAATGCAAACAATCACAAAATCTTCTGCAGAAGGAATGAATGAAATCACACTCTAGTTCATTTCATGAGGGTAAAATGACCTTAATGCCGAAACATGATGAGCACAGAACATGTAAATAAAATTGCATGCCCAACTGGATGGAGATGAAAATATTGTACTTAAAATACTAGCAAACCAAATCCAGCAATATATAAAGAGATGAAACACATGTTCTTTCCCAAGTTAAGGTTGGCCCAAGCTTGTAAGGTGTTTTAACATTAGAAAATCGTTGTATACAAATCATTCCAATAAACAAAGAAAAAAGTGCATAAACGTATCAATGACATTTAGAAAAGCCTTGCCAAAACTGGAATTCATTTATATTTAGAAAACACTCTTTTAGCAAACGTAGGCTAAAAATAACCATTTTTACGTTTTCTACCAAGATATGTACAGCCTACATACTTAATGGCAACCATTGTTGCGGGCATTCTCTTCAAGATTTGGAATAAGACAAGCGTGCAGGCTATCAGTGCTTCTGGGATTGTAGTTAGCAAAGTAAGTGGGAAAGGGAAGAAAAAACAAGAATAAGAGGAAGACAGAATGTACACTTGAGTAGTTTTTCACGATGCGTTAGTGGGCAAACGGAATGTCTCATTCTCACAGTCCAGGATTTTGTAGCAAAACAATAGAAACCTGGGCAAGTTCCTGACACCAGCAACTGTACTGAGGAAGCGGTGATGAGTGACAGATAACACTAGGCTGAGGGTTTCTCTGTCCTTTTTTTAACCC